AATGAAAGTGAATAAAGTAACTTAAAAAAAAAAAAAAAACCTTCAAATATGAATAAAACGAGAACAAATTCAACATTTTCGAATTATTTACAAAGCGGAAGTAAAGTACATTTGCATAGATTTTTGCGATTTATTTTATCTAATTTAAAAATAAAATAATATTAAATAAAAAAAAAACAAACTTCCCTGTTCGAAGATTATTTCCTGATCCACCATAATAGTTGCACAACTTTATCTACACTCCTTACTTCTTTCCATACAATTGATGGATGCATTTAAAGTTCGACCGTTTATTAACTAATTTTTTCCTCTCTTTCTTTTTTTTAAATATATAAATATTCATAAATCTTCAATTATTAAACGGAAGTCATTCTCCCGAAACAACAACTATTTGGTCTCGGATGACATCACTTCCGGCCACAGGAAGTAATAGAAGATCATCTTCCATGAATCACCAAACAACGTCGGAAATTTTTCTCCAAGGACGAAGCAGCATTAAAATATTCCTGTTTATGGAAGCAAAGGATGTTTCATTATAATGTGTGGCGTTAATTGGACGTATCAGTCAAGCTATTTAACCAACAATTAAGTTGTGTGGACGAACAGAAACTGTACGTTTTAAATATTTCGTCGATAATATCGAAATAATTGTACTAAATATTAAAAAAAAAATCGAATCCAGGATATATATATTTTTTAAAGTTTTATCCTCCATAATATTGTTAAAAATAGATTTAATCCCCCAATTCTATAAAGTAATGAAGCGGTTTGTGTGTTTATTTTAAATTCTTCATAGCATATATTCGTTATTATTTTATTTAAAAAAATTAATTATTAAATTTTTATAAGTTTCAATTTATTTTAATTATTTTTAATTCCTTTTTTTTCTCCTTCTCGTCGATTTCCTTTAATTCAAATTACAATTAAAATTCTCTTGCATTATTTTTAAATTTCATTTATTATATTATTATTTAATTGAATTTATTACTTTCCTTTTATTTTAAAAATGTATAAAATAATAAAATAACAAGAATTAAAAACAAGAAAATAATTAAATTAATTAATTAAAAAGAAAAAAAAAATTATTAATTTACAAAAAAAAATCTGTAAATTCTGTTTCTTATTTAAAAATATTTTATTTTTATACGGAATTTTTAGTTTCTTTTTTTTCTTTTCTTTTCTTTCTCCTGCAATAAAAATGCTACAAAAATATTTATTGACGTTTTATAAATAATTCTGAAAAGAAAATCTGTATCAGAAATGTCATACAATTATAATTCGATCATTTTAAGAATTTCTTTTCACGAGTTAAAGGTAGGAAATGAAAAGTGCTTAAAGGAAAAGGAACGAGGGGGGCAGCAAAATAAGAAGAAGAAGAAGAAGAAGAAGAAAAAAAAAAGAAGCAAGGATGAAGAGAGTACACAGATCTTGGCAATAAATAAAGTTTGCTTTGACATACCTTTGACAGGGGACTGGAAAATGTCGCCACCATCTCGAAGGAAGCAAAAATAAAAATGGTCAAAGTTGTCACTACACAACTCGGAGCAGTGACATTTTAACGTGTGAAAACCGAATCTATTGGGAAGTTAGAATGACAGAAAAGAAGAATTTTCTCGCAAACGAAAGAGAAATGCAAGGAAGGAATAGAAAGAGTAAGAGAGAGACTAACGTAGAACTAACCAAACTTAAGACCCTTGGGGTAGTCTTTAGAGAAAATCAAAGCTTTTAGGAAATGATAAGATGTTTTTCAGATATTTTTCGCCGGGACTAACTTTTAAGAGACGAATTTGTTGATAAAGTTTGATAAAGTAATGAAATTTGATGAGATTTTATATGATTTAATACGTGTGAAGTTATATCGTCAACTAACAGATAAAAATTGAAAAAGGCATTCTTGTAAAACATATAAATTCGCCATCAATAGATTTCTGACAAGTTTTATAGATTATAAAAGTAAATATATTGCATATTTTGATTTACAGCTAGTATAATCCGCCTAAAGTTATTATTATAGTAAAGAGAGAGAGTCTTAAAATTTGTTACAGAACTTTAATATTGCTGTTGATAATATCTATAGTATCATATAATCGACTATTTTCAAACAGAAATATATCGATGAGGTTATTTAAAGGTACTCGTATATACAAATTTTTATACGACATTATTAATTTTCTCTTTTATAAATAAATGATGGATAGCAGAAGTTAAATTTAAGCATATATTTACATGCAAGATTTCGGTAAGGATCGCAAGGAAAAAAAAAAATCATTTCATATATCGATAAAGATTTTAATACCGATAAGGGAGGATAAATGCAAATTTTGACATTAAAATGCATCAGGATGCTGATTTTCTTTTCATTCTTGATAAAGCTTAACTGGTAATTCAAATTTTCATGTTAAATCTTCATTCTTTTTTCCCTTTTCTTCCCTCTTTCATCCAATTAAAATTAGAAATTGTGTTTAATAACGGATAAAATCAGAGGATATTAACTTTTATGGAGACAAATATAAAAACAAATGTTTTATATCTACTCTCCCATCCGGTGAACTCTACTTTATCCAGTGATGAATGTTAGCCAGGAGATAAGGATTTTACTGGAATAGAATTCTCTCCTCATAATTTTTCTAAATATACTACGGTAAATGGTGATATTTGTAACATGTAAGCGACTTATACAAGGCAGATATCAAGACTAAAGATCCAGTTCACCAAAGAAGAATGTGCCACTTAGAAAATTCTTTATTCAATAAGAAGTTTTAACTTCTAAACATAATTATTGTGGTCAAAATTACTATAAAACTTTATATTTTACAAAGTTTAAGATGTTTTTTTAAACATTAAATTTATGTAGAAAGGGGGAAAAAGTCTTTCACTCTCGAAGGAGTTTCGTTAATTCCCAAAAGTATGTTCGTTAGGAAATAAAGGAAGTCAATCTCCAGGGGAATTTTTGTAATCGGAAAGAACGATTGATCAAGTGCAAATTCGATTTCTTTAGTGATTGGTTCGAATTTTTCTTATTTTCAAAAAAAAAAAAAAAATTTACGATAAAAAAAAGTTTAAGTACTTTTAAGATAGTTTATCTAAATTACTGCAGTGCTCTTTTACTATCAGTTGGCATACTTCTGCAGCTTGTGGTGGCATTTTTCTTTTTTATTTATATATATAAAGATTTAATATTCAAATTGAAGACTCAAGGAAATCTTGACATTAACATTTTATTCCCAAAAATAGACTCTTGTGCATCGTAAAACTGAAACTACGCGGATTCAAATCGTCCTCGAGATCCTCCATTTAAAAGAATATCAAATTTTGGAACTCGTTTCTTCCTAACCTCAATTTTAGGCGGAGAAGAAAGTATATATATATATATAATTATATAAAGAAACTATAGTAAAAAATATACAGAAAAATATTCGAAACTGCAACGATATTGATGCGAACAGAATCTATTCTTCGGTTCTATATCAAAATTTAAAAGAGAAACAACGATTATTGGAATACAGCTGGATAAAATCTAGACATCTAACACTATTCTAGCGATGTGTCAAGATAACGACGATCTCTATCTCTATCTATGACCGAAAATTCTGGACACAGTGATTCAGGAAATCTAAATTTATGATTCTTATCACCGTCTCGTTAGGAAGAACCATCTTGATACAATGTTTTGTATGAATATCGTGTTACTCCGAACATCTTTTCTTGACGTGTTAGAAGCAACGGAAGCATGTAATAAGCATAGCATGAAAAATCAGTGTGTCAAATTCTGATGATTATTTTCAAATTAATGTGGTAGTTAGGCATGCAAGCGTTTTACTTGCAGATGAGCAGGTTCTCGTATAAGATCCTTCAAAAAATGAATTTCGTCAAACTTTTGATAAAATTCGTGTTTTATAAACATAAATCTCACCGTATTTTTTAACCTTATCGATTTTTAATTTTTCTATACACACATATATTTAGTAATCGAATCCATCTTTTAGTATGCCTTAAGTAAAGGGAATTTGGTAAAGTTTTACAATTTTTATAACATTGTATGTAAGTTTTATGTTCATGAAAAGCATGATGGATGATGTTTCATGAATACAATTTATGAAACAATATCCATCATGATATTTTCCTCCATAAAATAGAGGGGGAAAAAAACAACAATAAATACAAGCAAAATATCTACTTTTTGAGTTATATTGAAATGTCTGTCTTTAACATTTCATGCATTTTTATTTTTATTTTTTTAACCTGCAACTGGGTAACTGGAGTTTGGAATTGTTAAATGTAGCTTATAAAATTAAGTTGAAGGTTTCTTGGCAATTTTACAGACACTCAACACCGTGTCCTTGATTTTGTTCTTTCAAATTTGACGTGTTTCCTTTTGTCTTCTCCTGACGACTGTGCATTATTTTCTGCTTAATTTACGGTAAAAAAATATTTCTAATTATAACAATTTATATATTTAATAAACCTAATGTATATTTTATAATCGGAGTTATTTATGTTTCAGAATTCCGTGTGTGTAAAATATTCTGTAATATTGCGGTACTACATAATTCTGGATTCTGGAATTAACTTTCAAATACCGGAAGTAATTCACTCCAAAAAAAAAGCCAGTAATTTTATAAGGGTAAATAGTGGGCCGACATGTTAGGTCGAGAAACTGTTTGGGATGAGTCACTGGCGCGCGCCATTTAACCTCCCCCTTCATTTACGAACATCTCTTTATGATGGATGAAAGTTGTTTATATGACACCATCGACACCGGGTTAAAGGTCAAAAGTCATTCCAGCGGAAGCTTAGAAGTTGAACCTCACTCTTACGGGTCAGAGTAGGAATTCTCAGACGAGATCGAGTCGAGAGAGAAAAGAAAAAAAGATAGAAGAACGGAATTTCGAATTCTTTTTTGTGTGTTAATGGTGTATTAAAATTAAAATAAAATTCTCGAATCTTACGTTATTAAAAAGAAATTTTTCAAATAAAAAAAAAGAAAAAATTTTAATTTTTGTCAGAAGTGGGGTTCGAACCCACGCCCTCCATTGAGGACCAGATCTTAAGTCTGGCGCCTTAGACCACTCGGCCATTCTGACTTATTGAAAAACTTCTTAAATAAGCTTCTTATACTACACCCTTTTAATTATTTATTAATTTAATTAAATTTTGTGAAAATTAAAGAATAATAAATAAAGTAGAAAGAGAGAGAGAGAGAGAGAGAGAGGAAGGGGAGGGAAAAAGAGTCCACTTGTCCGTATGAAAGTCACATACAACTTGCACCAGTTCTCTGGATGTTCTTATCGATTCTGCCTCACAATTCGATGCTGTTTGGTGGTTTCCTGTCTTTCCCCATCTCTACGCTCTCTCTCCTCCTCCTTCCAAACTTACAAAATCATTAACTGGTTCTAGTTTAATTTGTAACCATTTTTTCTTCTCTCCTCTCCATCCTTTACGTTGATTACAGGTGAGATGCTACAATCTCGTTGCTCTCGGTGTTCTTTTTCTTTTTTTCATTTTCCATTATAGAGAAAGTCGTGAAAACAGTAGCGACTTGTCTTTCTATCCTCATAGGGTGACTATAATAAAGAGAATCAGTTTGAGGGAGAGTAAAGTCAGAGGGGAAATGTCATGGTACCAGTGTGCTGATTAATAGCTTCCCCCCGACTGAGTAGTGCAGCGATCGCTGGCAAATCTCCATTATTGGACTCGTTGTGCTCAGAACAATTGCTAGTGAGTGATCCCCAGGGACCTAGTAACCGCTGTACATTAGGCTTAACGTCCAGGCTGTCGAGGCCTTTAGAGACTTTCCTAGATACACTTTACGAGAAAGCGTGGTGTGATGACGACGAAATGCCAAAAGCACAAGTGCTGTGTGTTGTTTCTGTCTCATCATCTACAGGCGTGTTTTACTCTGTAAAATAAGAACTTTCCATCATTTAAGTAGATAGAATCTTCCTCCCTTTTCTACCAAATTGAATCCCATCGAGTTATGAAGAGGGCATACGAATTAAGCTTTGGTTACTGATGATACCACGCATTAAATGAGAGATGTGATGGGTGGAGTGGGATGGAGAAATGATCATAAAAATTCGAATTTCTCCTACTTCCCCTGCTTTTTCGGGGTTGATATTTTGTAACTGAATCTAGTGAAGGATAGATAAAGATAAAGTAAGAATATNAAATTGAAGCTGTCAGAAAATGCAAATCTCAGCAGCTTTCGAGATTTAGAGAAATCCGTCATTATTGACCTCTATTCATTTCCATACTCAAAATATATAAAGAAGAAAAAAAAGTAGAAAAAAAGGAGCCCTCTCCTATATTTTTACCCCTTCTGACCTTTAATTTTTCTATTTTCTTCTTATATTTAATATATCAAAATATTTAGAAAATGTTATATAATTTTATTATCGATATACGAGTCGCAATTCTTAATTTCGTATAAATACGTAATTATACTTTACCAAAAAAGCGATCAAAGGTTAGAAAGAAATAATCTAATCTTATCATTTTTATCAATAAAAAGTAAAGTACGATTCTTATCACTCAATAAATTTGGTATTTTCTTTTAGATAAACCTAGTTAAACCCCAATACGAAATTGGTGCTTTAAATCAGGATTTTATTTAAGTTTTTAAAGTGTCTACAAGAATTATTTTCGAAATTATAAAGAAGATATAGATGATAGGGATTTGGTAGGGAGATTAAGAGCATCAAAGAGCAACCGACATCCAAATCTCTCGACGTCAATTCAACCGTCTGCATGTCTGTCATGCGACATTATACATAGTCGTATTGAAAGCATTTTTCGGATTCGTTTTATATATTTTTATGCTAAATTGGTACGGAATAAAAAGATAAAATTGTAAAATTTTTATTACTTATTTTTTTTTATTTGTATATAATCTTGGAGAAGGTTATAAAACTCGTGCTGTTGATTGTCTCAATGAACAGTAGTGCTCTTACTCACTTGGTCTACTAACAAGTCATTATTTTTGAGGTCAGATTCAACCAGTTTCCTTTTTTTTTGTCTACCCTTCGGGAGCCTCTTATGACCTCTACTGTTCTGGTGATTCGAGACACCTCCTTTTCCGAAAGAATATAATAATCACCAGTTTTTTATCATAGAATTAAGACGTCGTTTTCTATTAGAGAAATTAAGAACTCTATAATATTTTTACGTTGTTAAAACTCTTGTTATTGGTTAAAAAGTTAAAAATCGATTATGTAATTATAAACGAATTACTTTTAAAAAATATTCATATTAATTATCTAAACTGATTATATAACTTAACTATTGTAATTAACTTAATTAATTAATTAATGCAAAATTTATTACTTAATTTTATTTGTCTTTTATGTAAAATAAAATATATAATTATATAACGTACAGTACAGTGCATAAAGTGTTAATCACGTGTAGCTTTTCAACTGGAAATTAAATATTTTGAATGGGGGAAGAGAGAGAAAGAAAAAGGGAGAAAAATCTGTAATTTGAAAATGCTGATTTAAAAAAGAAAGAAAGGAGAAAGAGGAGGAGAAGGAGGAAAAAAGAACATCGTCTATTTCCACTTAGAAGTCTTGTCATGATATGAAGTGGAGTGCAGATTGTCATCTTCAGTTGTTCTGTCGACTTCTTGTCCTTTCGTTTGGTGTTTTGTGACCGTCTTTCGATTGGAAGCTTTTCTTATCCGGTTGTCTCTCGCGAGACATATCGCTTGGCAACCGATGTGAACTTTTGTTAATAGATTGTCAGTATGAATTGTTTCCTTTCCAGCAAATATTACACCCGTATATATGACAAAAGGCGAAGCTAATTCGGTTCGGATGTCTGGTCATTAAATGCAAAACTATCATTTGTTTATATACGATGAACGGGAGTAACCTTCGGGGCTATTTGCCAACGTAACAAATTTTCCCGATAATAGAAAAGTGAACGGAATTGATGCATTCAAATATGGTAAACATTAATTAACGTTTTAAATGTAACCATAGAAAATTTTAAAGCCGAGTTAATTCCATTAATGTTTAAAATATAATAATAAATTCCGTCAGGTGGCAAAATAGATTCTTTTTCTTTTTATTTATTTTTTTAATATTTATCCACACGAGAACTAACAGAATTATACATAAGAAAAAAATAATAATAATAATCAAATAAACAGAATAAAAATCGGTAAAGCTAACTTGTAACTGCGAGAACGATAAACTCAACAGGGATTCGGAAAATCGATCATGATAATAATCATAACAAACACATAAGTAGAGATAATTCCATCAATTTAAAAAAAAAAAAAAAAAAGATTTAACCATCATTCTTTTGAGCAGCACATTAAGATTTTTTCTCCGATATTAGAACTACTAGTCATTCAATCAAGGAAAAAAAATAATAAAAAAGAGAGAGAGAGAGAGAGAAAGAGAGAGAGAGAAAAGGAAATGGAAAATCTCGGACTAAACTTGTCTATTGATTTCCTCTTCTCGTTCCTAACTTAACTTCCCTATGCGATTAGTAAGCAACGCCCAAAGAAAGAAAATATTCTTTTCCAAAGCCTGGTGCATTCATAATCCAGAAATCCGAAAGGAAACAGGTTTCCTTTCCTTCCCCCTATCGCTTGGAAAAGGCTTAACATCATAAATATTAATGCTATCCTACTACGCCATTCCGTTTTTCCTGTTTGTTTTCTGTCTGTTTTTTTTTCTTCTTCTTATTTTCCAGGTTTCCGCTTTTCGTTTTCGGTTAGAGATGTCTGATGGAATTTGGAATTCTTATGTATACATATATATAATATTATTTTTTAACCTACAAGAAAATTGTTTTCATTTTCGTCTGATTAGAGCACTGTTATCAGATAAGTAGAAAAGATTTTCTTTTTAATTAAAAAGAAAAGAGGATAATCATTGGATCTAATTCCCATCTGTACAATTATTTTATTCTTCAACTTAATATACAGAATATTTCTAATGGTTTATGTAATGAAATTGGGGATAGATTAGTAAATAAATATAAACCGTCATTATTGACCTCTATTCATTTCCATACTCAAAATATATAAAGAAGAAAAAAAAGTAGAAAAAAAGGAGCCCTCTCCTATATTTTTACCCCTTCTGACCTTTAATTTTTCTATTTTCTTCTTATATTTAATATATCAAAATATTTAGAAAATGTTATATAATTTTATTATCGATATACGAGTCGCAATTCTTAATTTCGTATAAATACGTAATTATACTTTACCAAAAAAGCGATCAAAGGTTAGAAAGAAATAATCTAATCTTATCATTTTTATCAATAAAAAGTAAAGTACGATTNTTTGAACTAACTTTCATTTGAAAAAATTAAAAAAAAAATATGCAGAACAAATCTTGAATATTGATTTTAATAAATATCACTTTTTTTTATTTGTGTTTTTCTTAAAATTATTTAAATGTTATGAATTCTTTGTAAATAAATATAATTTTAAAGTTAATGTTTAATTAAAGAAAATCTGTAGATATGAAAGAAGTTAGGCGTGATGTTTTAGTGTTAAATGAAGTAAGTAAAAAGAAAAAAAAAAGGAAAAAATGATGAAATTAAATAAAAGATAAGTCTATAGTAAACATGATTTCTAAATTAATAATGTTTATATTTTCGTTTATAGCGGTTGTCTTCATTTAAAAACCGTAAGATGTTAAATTATCTCAGACAAGATTTCTTGCTACCACTATGTTTTAAGTCTGTAATAATCCATGCAGAAACATGTCGATCCAAGAGTTTTTTTGCAAAAACAATCGGAGAAGCCCCAGGGCTCAACGGTGTCTTGGTCTACATGTCCTTGAAGAGGGTGTCCACTTCATACTCTTCGCCAAAGGCAGACTTTGGTGGTGGTTGACGAATGGGTGGAGCATTGCAATCCTCCTCATTATATAATTTTTTTATTCCTGGTAATGATCCTATCTTCTGTATATTCAGCTTTACTATATCATTGAGTGACTTTAAGAGACTCTTATATTTGAAAAGAAATTTTTACTAAGTTTTACTCTTTTCAAGTAGGCTTACTACATCATGTGAATATTCCACATAAGTATGATGAATGACTTTTATGTGAAATTTTATTCTTCGA